AAAACTCATAAATGCAAACTAATAAATAATGATGATGCCTGTCATAATTAAATTAATACTATTTCTTTCCTTCCTTTTTCAAAATTTGATGAGACAAATTTTATGAATTTTAATATAATTGAAGGGTAAAAATTTGATGAGACGTTTTTAATAATTTAAAAAATCAATTAAAACATAAAAATATCATAATATTAGTTATGTTAATTTAATAGATAGAAAGAAAATCTCAGATAGATTGAAAAACCCTCCAATCCTCAAGGGAATAACTTTGTAATGTGGCAGAGGATATATTACTTTACCTTCATTAATATGGACCACACAATCTTTCATTTTTTTTTTAATATTTCATTTACCTTTTAATTTTTTATAAGTTCATTCGCCATTTTTTTACCTTATATGCATTTCGTTAATTCCTACCTTTTTTTTTATTGTTTCACTTTCAATGTGCAACATAAGAAATACTATCATACAATATGAAATGTTATCATAGATAGGGTGATTAAAGATATATGTTTCATTTCTTGACTTCATAGACTCAAACATTAGAGCTAAGATTCAAAAAAAAAACTTATACTAAATTCTTCTGAATTCAACTGACAAATGTAAAAACTATACCCCAAGATCATCAAAAAGAGGACAGTCTCAATTGGTGCCACGAAGGAGACATAGTCTCGATTGATGCCAAAAAAAAAAAAGAACATAATCATCAAAAAGAGGACAGTCTCGATTGGTGCCACGAAGGAGACATGTAATAAGATCTAGTGCTAAAATACTTATTCCAATATCCATTCCTCCGAACAGAGAAGGGGCAGTAACCAAAGCAAATCATAACTTAGCTTTAGCTGAAAGACCAAGAAAGGAATCGAGGGCTTCATAACTGAGATTGTGACAAGGAGTTTGCCACATCAATCACAAACCGGTACCTGACATCCGATTTGGCAAGCCTATCCATGGCCATGTTGATTTGATCCATTCGGATCACCTCAACTTCTGCAGTAATATTGTGCTTTGCACAGAAGTCCAACATCTCTTGAGTTTCTTTGATCCCTCCAATATCACTTCCTCCAACTAGCTTTCGCCCTGCAAGAAGTAGATGGTCAATAGTGTAATATAGATTTTCAAGTCAATTTCATGCTTGAAAGGATATTTAAAAGGTTCTGGTGACCGAGAAATACAATCAAATTCGTAGAAGGTTTCTTTTGGCAGCCAAGGTATCGTTTTATATATGGATTTCAAGTGTATATTGGAAGATTATGTTCATTCAATTAAAAGCACTAATTCAGCAAGTACAGAAAAAGATTGCAGACAAGTTGACTTGTCAATTTGCAATCTTGTAAACATTTCTCTACCTCTAATAGTTCCACGGAAAACACATCAGAATGAATCTAATGTATTCTACAATCAGGAAGAGCGTGAAGGTAGAAACATGATAGCTTTCTAACACCCTTTCTCATGTAACCCTTATTGTTAGCTTCCTGAATTTGGGGGTCAGGAATGGAACAACTTACCCAAGACCAAAGGGAAGATAGGCAGCTCAAGGGGCTTCTCAGGCAAGCCCAAAGTAACCAGTTTTCCATTTATCTTCAGCAGACTAAGAAATGGAGCCAAGGCATGAACTGCAGACACAGTGTCAATGATGTAATCCATAGTGCCAATTGCTGCCTACAAAATAGCATTACAAATCATCATAATCTCTGATAAATGGTAATGCCATGCAGTCAACTTCCAGGTCTAAGCTTTGTGAAAGTTTTGAGTTCGCAACCAGTATCTACTCCAAAATCTTAAGCTATTAGGGCAAGCTGTACAGGTCAATCTATAACTAACAAATACTAGGGTGCCTCTCGACATGCATATGCAGACATGCTGAGGGTAATTTAAACAAAGTAATAAGCAAAATTCATATCCTCATAGAAGTCTTCTTTCTTCAGTGAGGGGATGAAATTCAAACAGTGGAAACTGGACTAGCACTCAAATTGAATACTAGTCCCAATTTGTTAGTATATACCTATTGAGACCAACCATCAACTACAATTCTATAACCTCTAACGCATGCAAATAGCACTTGTCAAATTCACAAGGACACAGGCCATATCAATTAGTCACCCAAAACCTTACCTTTTACTGTGTTATTATTTAGTAGTTCAGTATACTTCCAGCTCCAATTTGCTTATCCAGGTTTTTCTAATTTATGAGTGATGTTGCATACCTTCATTTTCTCACGGTCACTGCTCACAAGGAATGAATCTGCACCAAGTATATCAATTGCTTCGCTCTCCTTTCTTGGTGATGAACTGATGACTGTAACTTTCAAACCAAAGGCCTTCCCGATCTTCACAGCAACATGACCAAGTCCACCCAATCCTACAATTCCCAAATGTTTGCCTGGTTCAGTCATTCCATAATATTTCATTGGGCTGTACACTGTGATCCCAGCACATAATAGTCGTGCACCCCCATCAGCAGGCATACTATCAGGAAAATGGAGCACATAGTGCTGGTCAACCACAATTGTGTCAGAATAACCCCCATAAGTTGCTGTCCCATCATGGTATCTGGCATTGTATGTAAATATCATTTTAGGGCAGTAATTCTCTAAGTCCTGGTTGCAATACTCGCATGACTTACAGGAGCCCACCATTACTCCAACACCAACCCGATCGTCCACTTTGAACTTCTTCACGTTACTTCCAATTTTTGTCACAATACCAACAATTTCATGCCTGCAGAAGAGTGATGTCATTTATTATCTTGCACATTACATAACATGCAATAGCACGATAAAAATTCAAAATTCCTTATATCCCCATCGTGTCCAAAACAGAGTGCATAAAGCACCACATAAAAAAAAGGTCAATAGTTTAATCCTTTTGACTCAATTCAAGACACACAGAAATTACTAAGTCTTGGACTATTTTTCACACAAGTTAAACATAAGCTCAGCATCTGCAAACATAAACCTAAGAATAAGATCCTTGCAGGGCACTATATCTACATCGATCATCAAAAACTCGGCAGAAGAATCTTTAACTGTATGTATTCAGTCACAAGAACTAAAAATGAGGAAAACAATGAATTCAATTTCAGCAATTATAAATTTAAGAGTACCATCCTAGGGGAGAGCTCAAAATCATCTAGCAGTTCGCAGAACAATGGCATTGCTAGTGCATGGATAAGGGTCCCCAGTGGTTGGCATATGGTAAGGCTAAAAGTTGTTTAAACACCTTCTATGCAGTCAGACATGAATCTGATATCTGAAGGTATGCTTTCAAGTAACAAAGTGATTAAATATCATGGCCAGAGCATAACGCATTTAAAAGCAACCGGTCAAGCAATCAGTGACTAATTGCTGTTCAGCATATGCTCAGATGCTCACATTCACAGTGCTTTCAGAATTTCTCAATACACAGCTGCTGGAGACAGCCTCGAGGCAGTTTCAGAAGGTAAGCAACATAAGTGTTAGTTGTTTCAGAAATTCATAAAGACCTTAAATGCTTGAATATGGTAGGAGAACTTTCACAACAACAAGGATCTCAGCTTTGCATTCAGTGTGGCTTATATACAAACAGCAGTTAGTGTGGTTAGGCATGATTCAGCAAATGCAACTATGTGTAATCATTTTCCTTTAAAGAACCGGGATATTACTTAATGATGATAAGAATAAAAATTTCGAAAGGAAATGAATATTGCCTCAACTTAGGCAAATAGAACAGGTAGAACCAATTTCGCAATGTGATATGAAATCATACCCAGGAACCAAAGGATATCTGGAAAATCCCCATTCGTTTTTGACAGCATGCAAGTCAGAATGGCAAACTCCACAGTACAGGATTTTTAAGGTCACATCTTCAACTCCATTGTCCCTATCAATAATACCAGCAAAAACTTGAAACAAAAACAATAACAGTATTGCTTATGGAAAAAGAAAAAAATCAAGGAAGCAAGTCGATTTTTGTTATTTTTATTTGAATTACATAAGAATAGGAAGACACCCATATTTTTGTGCTCCAACATTACTCTTGTGTAAGTCTAGAAGCAGTAACAAAAAAAGTTGGTGGGCCACTTGTTTTGTTTAAAATTAATGAACCAAGAACCAACATAAGCTGGTTGGTTCAGCAAATACTGTAAAATAATCTGCAGTACCAAATTCATTAAGCACATAAAAAAGGCAACCTGTAGTTGATACAACCTAATAGAATACAATATAATCTAACTATAAATTACTACTAGATTAGAATAAACATGACATTGAACATATGATTATATTTATTTTACATTACATTACATCATGTTTTATCAAACAAATGACAGCAACATTTATTAAAATTTACCGCCAAAATCATGGAAACATCCCCTTCGAATGATGTCATGGCAGGCCAAGATTTGTCTTTTGCAATGAAAACAACCAGCTAAAATGAGCTTGACCTCAAAGGAATCACATCAAACTCAATAAAAGCATAAACCATTTAGAAATAATCAGATCCACCATACTCTTCACATAAAGTTATTCTTCAAATAATATTTATTTATCACTTCCGAAAAGAATTAATTTTTTATTTAGTACCTCAACCACTGCTAAATGCTAAAGATTCAATCTTTTTCATCTTGGTATTAACAAAAAACATTGTACATGCTCTATAACCCATCAAAGCCATATTTTTCAATCACACACAAATTCACATGATCAAGAAAACCAAGACCCATACAGAAATAGCAAAAACAAAAAAAGAACAGAGAGACCGTAAACAACAAAAAGAAAGCAATAACCTTCTTGAGAAATGGAAGGGAGAAAGGACCCCAGAATTATCTATGGCCGCCCAACCAAATGCCTTATGTGGATGTTCATCTTCTGGTGATTTTGCCATTCTTTCTCTGTTTTTCAGTCAGTACTGATGAACAACTCGGCGAGAGTGAGTGCATATATATATGTATAATAAGGCAAGAGGGAGAGGCCGCGTTGTTCCTTTTACCTTATGGTTCTTGTTACGTTTTTCAAAAGGCAGATGGAGACGTGTGTAGTTAGTTAGTTAGTTTGTTTTTTGTTTTTGTTTTTTTCCCCTCAATAAATAGCTTCCGTCTTCTTCTTCTTCTTCTTCTTCTTTCAATTGGAATGCACACTTTTTAAATAGAATAAACCCACCCCCCCCCCCCCCCCCCCCCCCCCCCCAAAACATCTACAAATAAAATAAAATATATAAAATTATTTTAATTTAATAATCTGTTTTATGGTGTGAATGTATAAAAATATATGAAATCAAAATTGAAAAAAATATTTTAAATTTTTTAATATAATTTGAAATTAAATAGATGAGAATTTTTAAAAAATAACAAATTAAAATAGTAAATTTTAAATAATCAACAGAAAACACTAAAATAAAATGGGATCAAATTACAATACAATTAAAGTTTGAAATTAAAAAAAAAATTGTATAAAAAAATTGAGTACCTTATAATTTTAAATTAATTGGATGAAAAAAGAATGGATAATATTAAAATAAATGAGAACTATCATTAAATGTAATTTTAAATTAATTGGATGAGAATTTAAAAAAAATGACAAATTAAAGATATAGATTTTAAATTAAAAAAATAAATTAAATTAAAACAAATGGGCTAAATCACAATACAATTAAAGTTTAAAATTAAGAAAAAAATTGTATAGAAAATTTGAGAACCATATAATTCTAAAGTAATTGGATGAGAATTTTAAAAAAAATGACAAATTAAAGTAGCAAATTTGAAATAATAAAAATAATAATGAAAAAACACTAAAACAAAATGTGACCAAATCACAATACAATTAAAAACTGAGACTGAAAAAAAAAGTATAAGATACTCGCGTTATGGTGTGATAAAACAACCGTTGCATAAGTAAAATTAACTATTCGTATGATGCAACATGAGCGTAAGTTTTATTTACGGTGATTTATATAAATGAGATCTATATATTGAGCGAAATCGTTTGATTTATATACATTTATTAACAAAATATTTAATAATATTAATATGAAAATTTGTATTTAAATAATTAAGCGGCTCTTTCAAAAATTATCTAACTTATTTTATTAAAAAATAAATAAATAATAATTGGTATTATATATGTAGATATATAGTTAATTTCTAACAAAATTAATGATACACACACACGATATATATATATATATATATATATATATATATATATATATATATATATATATATAAGCAAATAAAACTTGTAAATTCTTTTAATCGATTATTAATTTTTTAAAAAATAATGAGTCAAACTATCTAAAACATACTTTTAGCTCTCTCTCTCTCTCTCTTTCCCAAAATTTATAAATTATAACAATATATTTTAAAAAATAAAAAACTCATTTAAAAAGCAAAAGAAGAATTTATTGTATAAATTATAATAATATATTTTAAAAATAAAAGACTCGATGTTTTAAATTTTTATTCCAAAATTCATATATTAAAAAACTAAATTTATCATATCAAAAATAAACATGATGAGAATTTTAATAAGAAATAAATAATTTAAAAAATAATTTTTAAACAATAAAAATAATATAATCGGATATACATGTTCAAACTAAAATCTAAATATATATATATATATATATATATATATATATATATATATATATATATATATATATATATATATATATATATATAATATATTCTATCATATAAAAATTATAATGATTTATTTTTTTATGTTTTTCACACCTAATTCCATATATATGTGTGTGTGTGTGTGTGTGTGTGTGTGTGTGTGTGTGTGTAAAGACACACACACACATAATTTATTATATAAATTATAATAATATATTTGAAGAAATAAAACATCGATGTTCTAAAATTTTAATTCAAAATTCATATATTAAAAAACTAAATTTATTAACAAATAAAATCATAAAAAAAATTTAATTTGATGTGAATTTTAATAAGAAATAAATAATTAAAAAAATAATATAATATAATATAATTAGATATATACTCTCTCTCTCTCTCTCTCTCTCTCTCTCTCTCTCTCTCTCTCTCTCTCTCTCTCTCTCATACTCATATATATATATATATATATATATATATATATATATATATATGGGGAGAGAGAGAAGCACCTCATTGCAAGCCAACTAGGACAGGGTGCCTCGGTGGCTCGTGCAACCAAGTTACACATAAAAAAAAATATATGTGAGGAAGGCCAGCGCGTTTGGGCTCGCCATTGCAAGCCTACGCACTAGGCTTGCCCGTTGAAAAAAAAAAAAAACCTCCAACTTTTGACGAACCCGAGATCGTCGAAGTTCGTCGAAAAATCGAGAGTCAACTTTCAAACCCCTAAAAATTGAACTCCAACATTTTTTTTCTCAAACACCTTTAAATGATCGAAATAAAGCCAATAAACATATTTAAAACCTTAAAAATCATTTTAATACACACAAAATCAAATCGAATTTTTTTTCTTTTTTGGATCCGATCTACCTCATCTAATTGTTTAATGGCTTGAAACCACCATAGATAAACTCATCTCTCAAATATAAACAAATCTACCGGATTTTCACCGAACGAGTGGCCTAAATAAGTTTGACCGACGATCTCTCTCTCCTCCCATCTCTCTCTTCCTCTCAGCCTTCTCTCTCCACCTAGGGATCAAAATAGATGAGCAAATAAACATGTGGATCGAAATATGCTTTCGAAAATATCAAGAACTAAAGTGTAAAAAAAACCATGAATAGTGAAACGCATAGTGAAATATGAGATGATGAATAGTGAAATGTGAGTGTATGCACAATGTTTCAAATAATGCATGTACGATAAACGATGGTTTTCCTTTAGTTTTTTAGTTAATTATAAATTAATCTCTCTTTTGAAGAAACGAACTAATTAATTTTTTTAAAATAATTATTTAGTATTTAGATTTTAATTCAATAAGTTAGTTTTTTTTATTAGTTTTCTATTATATTGGTAATGTTTTCTCAAATTACTTTTCTTTTTATATTTTATTTCTCTTATTCATCAATTTCTCTACCTCTCTCTTCAGCTAAATTTTTTTTTAAAATTTGAGAATAAAAATCACTAATCTAACGAAATTAATTAAATAACTCAAATATTGACAGAATTAAAACGTGACAAACTAAATAATTAGTTTTTTGAAAGAAAAAAGACAAATTAATTGATTTTTCTAAACGTGAGGGACTGATTTATAATTTACTCTTTTAAATAATTTAACAAAATTTCAAGTAAATTATAAATTAATCTTATTTATTTTTTTAAAATGAATTAGTTATTCTTTTTTGTTTTAAAATTATTTATTTAATTTTTTATCAGTGTAAATTATATTCAATTTAATATTATTTTATTTAGAAAATGTTATCTTTTTCCATCAATTTATTTCTTAAAACAAAAAATTAAAATATGTTAAAAAATAAAAAAGATTAAGTTACAAAAAATTAAAAATTATAAAAATTAAATAATTAATTTTTGAAATAAAAGAGACAAATTAATTCGTTTTTCAATGCTAGAAGGACTAATTTATAATTTACTCCTACAATTCTACAATAATAATAATCTATTTGCTAGCTTTTGGTGCTATAATACTGATGCGAAAATATGTTAAGAGATCTTGATTGTCAGATTACTATAGTTGTTAACGTAGTGATCAAATGCAAATAAGTTATAGATAAACGAATATTAGTTTTTTTTTCCTCAAAAAATATGCCATCTCTATAAAAAATTTTAAAAAATCAAATTTGGACTTTTTTTTTAATAAAAAATATGTGAGTAATCAAACATATTGACTTACTTGATAAAAATAAATTTCATTTTATCCCCCAATAAGTAAGATCTGTGTTAGAATGTTTTTTTTTTTTTCGATTTTAAGGGTTTGAGGTGCTAGATAAAAATTAGTTCTTTTAGGAAGTGATAAATAATTTTTATTTGAAGAGTAACCTTATGATAGCATATTATAATTTATAGTATAATTAAGATTCCTTAAAAATCTACAATCTAAGCAGCATTTGGGCCAACTAATCTACGATATTGCATGATGTTGGGCAATGCTAGGGAGTGTAAATTATGAATTAGTCTCTTTATGTTTTAGAAACTAATTAATTAGTCTTGTTTCCTTTAAAAGCTAATTATTTATATTTTGACTTAATTTAATATTATTTTATTTTTTAAAAATATCATCTTTTCTATCAAATCTTTCATATTTTTTATTTTTTCTATTTCTTAAGACTGAAAATAAATAAATAAAAGAACAAAAAAAATTAAGTTATAAAAAATTTAAAATTTAAAATATAAAATATAAAAATTAAATAATTAATTTTTAAAACAAGAAAGATTAATTAATTCATTTCTCAAAACTAAAAGAACTAATTTATAATTTACTCTGCTAAAAACAAAAATAAAAAATAAAAAACCAAAAAGTGTTAAATAGCAAGGGAAAAAACACTTTATTTTAATTTTTCTTTCGCACATCAATGACATGATCTGATGGTTTTTTTTTTCCCCCTTCAAGATGCATCATTATGTGTTAAAAGCAAAGTGGGGTTTTCTTTATTAGTCGGATATAACAGCAAAGTGTGTTAATATATGAATAAGTCTATATTGTAACGTATGTGGTGATTGTCACTAATTAACATGATTCTCAATAGATCAAAATATCAAGTTATTAATTTTCATTTTTACTAATATAGCAATCAATATATTAACTTACTAAATATATCATGTATGGAAACCTAAGATATAAATCTATTAATATATTGAGAGAATTGTAATTTGAGTTCTAATTTTTTATTATTTTTTATTTGAGTGTCCAACAATTTTTTTTTTTTTAAGTTTCTTCCATCACTTGAAACTAAAAAATACTGATGTAATCAAGATTCATTGACATGTGACAAAAAATGAGTCATATTAGAATTTATTGAAAAAAAAATAAAACTTTTATATAAAAAATGGCAAGGATTAAAAAAAATCAAAATTAATTACTATTAGTCTGAATGAACTTGGTAAGTTTGCTGATTAAATTCTTAAAATATTTTCAAGATATTATTATCTAAATATTTTTTTTTCCTAGTTCAAAAGTTTTAACTTTAGATCATCTAAACCGTTCATTCAAATAACAATAATTAATTATATTTTTTGTAATTCTTGCCACTTATTCTCCTCTATAAAAATTTTATAATTTTTTTCTCGATAAATTCAAGTGGGACCTATTTTTTCTATTTGCCAATTAAAAATTATCATATATTAGTAGATTTTGACCCATTTAATATTTTTTTAATCTCGGTTGATTGAGAAAATTCAAATAAAAAATTAAATGTTTGACATTAAATATATAGAATAAAAAATTAAATACTCAAATAAAAAGTAATCATAAATACCAAAGAGCTTTGTAGTCTAATGGTAGTGATCTTTTACAATAAAAGCTCATGTGTTCAAATCATAGCAAATTAATTATGCTAAGAGCTTGGGTGTTTGAGTTAAAAAAAATAAAAATCATAGATTAAGCTATTATGCATAGCTGACTCATGTCATGTATTCCTATCCAAATTTGATTCAATCACATTTTATGTTTTAAGATTTTATAAAACAATAAAAATATTGTTCATAATATAATGTATGATTAATGCAACTCACTAAGTGTACTATTTTTCCAATAAAGGACGTAGCTCATCCAATCCTATACAGGTTGTGATAGGGACTGATGTCAAATATGGGCACTTTCTCTTGTCGACAAAATCAAATTTACGTAGAGATTTTGAGGAGGAGGCAGTTGGGCAACTTAAATGTGAATTTCATGACTTATTATTGCTTCTACCTAAAAAATCAACCTAACAACTTTCATCAGCCTTAATATTGGTTGGATTTATAGTTGGATGTTTATGCAAATTACACCAAAGTGGCACAATTTCTTTGCAGTATTCATTTGCTATCTGTAATTACACAAAATAAATAAATAATAAAATATCCCATTGCCAAATCCTTAATTCTTTTTCTTAATAAAACTATTTCTATCCCTGAAATTTTATCAGCTAGCATGCATTAACTTATGTTTATGGTAGCTAAAAGTAAGCGTTTTTTTTTTCCTTAAAGAATGAAAATAATACAATAAATAATAAATCAAAAAATTATCTACAATTAGAAGCATATTTAGCCTGACGATTATATATCCAATAGCTTTTTTAAGTGAAGTAAAATTTGATTTATAAGGATTATAATTTATTTGATTATTATATAATGAGAAAAAAACTACTTCTATTGTGTAGTCCAAAATTCATAAACCTTCCGATGAGTAAACCTTTAATCTTTAATTTAGAAAAACGAATTAATTACTTATCTTTTTCTCAAAACCAAATCATTTAGTCATTCATGTTTTAATTCAGTCAATAATTTTTTTATTTCATCAGTTTTTCATTAAATTAGTCATTTTTGTTTCCAAATTGTCATTTCTTTGATTTTTGATGCAAGAGAGAGAAAGAGAGCGAGTGAAGCAAAAAATAAAGCATTAAAAGAAGGACAATTTAAGCACAAAAAAAATAATACTAATTTAAAAAAAAGTTAAAATAATTAAATTATTGAAGAAATTAAAACATAAATGATTAAATAATTAGTTTTTAAAACTAAAAAAACTAATTAATTCATTATTCAAAATGAAAGGAAATAATTTATAACTTACTCATCTTTCGATAAACCAAGAAAAGAAGGAAAAAAATAATTATCTAAAATTAACACTCATATCATTGTTTTTATTCGTTATCTTTTTGTTATATAAGGTTCGCGATATTAATCAATTTTTTAATGACTTTTGGATTATAATTTTTAAAGAATCTAAAATAATTTAAATGCCCAAGAATCTTGGAGAGTTGCCTCTCATGCAATCAATTGAAAGGGAGACATGTTTTTTCATCAATAGACGGAAAGTTGGTGGAGAATTGTTTTTTTTTTCAACTCATAATAATTAGTTTTAGGTTGTGTTTGATAAAACTAAAAATTAAGTATTGAATCTATTAATTATTGAATTTTAAATCCTAAATAATTAAGTATTGAATATATTATTGACAAGCTATTTGGTATTTACCGAAAATTAACTCGCTGAATATAATAAGGTTGTTTGATAAGTACTCGTTGTCGAATACATTAAGGCTATATACGTGATAATTTTAACTTTGCAATTATAACATGATATTTTTTAACACAAATAAAAATATATACATAGATATGTTTATGTGTATAAATAAATAAATAAATATTTAATAAAAATGATTATTAATAAAAAAAATTAAACACGATTTAAGATATTGAAGAAACACGCTCCGTTTTTTTCTTATTGATCATATACAGAGTACAAGTATATATAGGAGATTACTCCTAGTCTAGCGTTAATGACAATTACGTGAATTTAGCCTAGATATATACAACTATGGACTCCAATACAACTTTGAACTCCTAGTCTTTCAGCTATACTCAAACTAGAAACAAGTAAAGGGACAACGTAAACATATACAAGCGGGATCCATAGGAATAACTTCCAATACTCCCCTCAAGCGGGATCCAAAGGATTGATGGATCTAAGCTTGCTCAAGAGTCGATGAAACCGTATGTAAGACAAGCACTTTGGTGAACACATCTACAAGTTGGTCATTGGTTCGCACATAATGGGTAAGTGATAAGCTTAGACCGAACTTACCGACGAATGTAATGATAATCCACTTCAATATGTTTTTTCCTCTCATGAAACATAGGATTGGCTATGATATGCATGGCAACTTGATTATCACAAAAAAGTGTCATCGGAGTAATGCACGGCAACCCAAATCGCAAGAAGACTTTTAAGCCATACAAGCTCACAAGCTATCGTGGCCATAGCATGATACTTGACTTCGCATTGGAACGAGCTATTATATGCCGTTTTTTGCTTTTCCAGAGACTAAATTACCACCAATGAGTACACAAGTAATTGGTAGTAGATTGACGATCAAGGGTATTTCCAATCCAATTTGAATTAGTATACCCCATAATGTTAGTGCGCTGTTTTTGGTCATTACTATCCTATGACCAATCGTTCCCTTCAAGTAGTGCAAGATACATTTCACCATACACAAATGATGAACAGTTGGAGCATGCATATGTTGACCGACAAGACTTACAAGCAAAGGAAATGTCGGGTCGTGTGATAGTTAAATTGATAAGCTTTCCCATAAGTTTCGATAATATCTTGGCGAATTAAGAGCATCTCCCATTGAATCAAGCTTCAACTTACTATCTGTAGGGGTAGCTGCAGATTTAGAATGTAACATACTAGTGTCTTAAAGCAAATCCAAAATGTATTTATGCCGATTAAGAAAGAGCCCTTTGTCGAAGTTGCCATTTCAATGTCGAGAAAATATTTTAAGGAACCAAGGTCCTTAATAGGAAATTGATGCTGGAAGTTCTTCTTCAACTGGGCAACCGAATCAGTATTATTCCTAGTGATGATAAGATCATAACATAAATAAGCACCATCAATTTGTCAACCTTTCATAATCGGATATATAATGAGGAATCAGTAGAACTCCTTGAAAAACCAAAAACTTCAAGAATAGAACTCAACTTTGCATGCCATGCATGAGGACTTTACTTCAATCCATAAATGGATTTATAGAGTTTACAAACCAAGTTATGATTACCACTTTGAGGATGGCCGGGGGAGCTTCATGAATACTTCTTCTACAAGATCACCGTGCAAAAAACCATTTTTTATGTCCATTTGAGACAAAGACCATCCATTATTGATAACAATGGACAAGAGAACTCTAACAAGTGGTTATCTTGGCCACCTGGAGCAAAGGTTTTCTTGTAGTCGACACCAAATTTTTAGGAAAAACCTCGAGCTACAAATCGTGCCTTATGACGATCAATAGATCTATCGAATTGAATTTGATTTTAAAAACCCATTAACTACCAACCGCATGTTTTTTGTTTGAAAGAGGTATTATACTTTAAGTTTTGTTTTCTCGCAAGTGCCATCGCCTCTTCCTCCATGGCTTTCTTCCATACAACTCGAGAGTGAGCTCCTTGAAAGTTTTTCGGCTCATGAACATTAGAGATAGTCGTGAGAAAAGCTATATGCGAAGTTGATAGCCTTTGATAAGTCAAAGATTCGAGTAAAAGGGTACCTAACTCGTTTAAGCCATATAATGTTGCAAATTTGTGGGAGGGTGATGATCCCGTAGAGGATTACGTCGAGGAGTTAATGATTGACCTTGTGTATTGGATGATTCTTACTCGCTTGAATTTACACGAGCTTCCTAGGCAACGAACACCAATATTATTTAAGGCATCATTAGTGGCACATACAATCGATGAAGAATTATCGGTTATAACTTGAGCCGATGTATCATGTTCTATAAGTAGATCAACTAAATGTTTACGGTAAGGCTCATCATCCGGTAAGGGAAATAATTTAGTCGACATCTTCCTCCGATTAAAAGTCATAAAATATGGACTTGTTTTAACAAATCAAACATCTCTCGTCGACATAGTTTTTTTTAGTGGCGACATCATAACACTTGTACCCCTTCTTTGTTTGTGAATAACCTAGAAATATGCATTTAATAGCTCGTGCATCATGTTTGTCACGATGAGTCACCGATACGTGCATGAAATAAATGCAGTAAAAAATATTTAGATAAGAGATGCCTAGTTTTTTGTCCTACAATACTTCAAGAGGACATTTAGAATCCAAGCACTCGACCGGGTAAATGGTTGACAAGATAAGTGGCGGTAAGAACTCCATAAGATAAAAAAAAAAAAAAACTTAGGAACATTCATTTAAAGCATTATGGCTCTAGTCTTCTCAAGCAAATCATGATTTTTACGTTCAACAACCCTATTCTCGTTGGGGTGTGTTAACACAACTAGTCCGATGCAATATTCCATTAGAATTTAATTAATTTGTCATGTCATGAGCTATGTATTCTGTGCCATTATTAGATCAAAGAATTCTAATATAAGTCTGCGAATTAAGTAGCAACCAACATGTAAAAATCCTTGAAATAACTAAAAACTTTACTTTTTGATTTCAATAGATATACCCAAGTAACTCTTGAAAAATCATCAATAAAGGTTATGAAATATTTAAAACCATCAATAGAAATGGAAAAGGTCCCCATACATCCGAATGAACAAGTTCAAATGCTTCGAGTAGTTTTAGATGATGAAGAATTAAAAGGAAGCCTAAGCATGATTAGAATAATGACAAATCTCACAATCATGAGTTCCTTTAGGCAAACTCGAAGTTATTTTTGAAAGAAAAACTCGATGGATGTGCTCAATAATGATGCCATAAGAGATGCTCATTGATAGGAGAGGAAACAACTTGAAAACTTTTGGAAGCTCAAGAATCGGAGAAAAATAAGTAGAGCCCATACAAATGAAATCCTTCACCAATCGTCTTCTTGGTGATAAGGTCATAAAAAGATAACTTCGTTAAGAGTAAATATAACTTCACATTTGAGAAAGGATGTCAATTTTTTAACGTAAAGCAACCAAAAAGGAAAAGAAGGCACATAAAGGACATCGATTCTATAAAATCCGAAACAAGGTTGATTTTCCCTCGACCCTTAACCAAATCACATTTCCCATTAGCTATAGACACAAAAGAAGAAGTTCGACAAGGATTAAAGGATGAATATTGGTTAACTTATTTAACATATTATTAGTGGCACCATAATCGACAACCCACAAATCATGCAAAGTACTTATTTCTAATATAGTCATAAAAGGCACTCGGAATACCTTGGCTATTTTCGTAGTTTGTATCGCTTACAAAACCAAGCAAATTTACTTATAAGTGCAGCAGGCTCATCACGACCTTGTTAACAACTCCATTTTGTATTATTCCTTTATCATGCTTTTCTTATAAATGGCTAGCAAAGTCATTAAGCAAGGCAATAGGACTAGAGGAAAAAGATTCAATAGTATGGTTTGCCAAATGAGCATTATGATTAGTTATTCATTTTTTATCTCCTCCCTTCTTATCCTTTGTAAATTTAGGTTTCATCTCCGGGTGAAGGCTCCAACAGATGATCAATTGAATGTTTAAGAGAATTACAATATTCACATTTTAGATCCGGATGCTTGCGTTTGTAAAGTTTTTTTTTTTATTAAAATGAAAGTATATTAATCAAAGGAGAAAAGGGCTAGAGAACTAGCTAAAGTTACATACATAGGATATACAAGTAGATGGGAACGAGCTCCCATGAAAACTAAGCAAAAGAGCTAGAACTAGAAAGTTGTTCAAGGAATCTAGTATTATAGATTCCAAGAAAAACTCATAAGTAAACATGTGCTAGCTATCCGGAATCATTTACAAGGCTCAACAAAGATACAAAAATCTTGCCGACAAGACCAAAAGTAAACAATTTACAAAAACAAATGTGACTACTAACCAACATGAAGAAGAGTGTGGTCCTTCTCATAGAAATGAAAGATCATGAAGAAGAGAACCTAAAACTTCCCGAAGAGACGAGCAATGGTTGAGAGTGATCCATCGAAAAGCCTCTTGTTGCGCTCCTCCCAAATCGGATAAACGATGATGGCCAATGAAACCCAATGCATTCAAGCTTCCAGATTATTACGTCGAATTGAGAGACCTCGAATGGCACTAACAAGGGTGGACATGCTATGATTAATTCTAAGCCAACCCCGAATCCGACCCCATAAGCTCGGCCGTCTAAGGACACTCAAAAACAGATGGCAATGGCATCAAAAGCAAGCCGACAAAGCGAGCGACTGGTATCATTCGGTTCAAAGTGAAGACGATCGGCAGCTTTTAGCTTATCATGAACCATTAACCGAGAGAACAAAGACATGCCGCGGTAGGGTCTATGGTTCCCAAACAACTCGGGCCCAATTTACCAAAGCCCTCGTCGGGCGCAGTACCATTATAAACGTTGCGAATAAATTTCCCTCGACCCCAATCTTCCCCAATCGACTAAACACTCGTCCCCAAAAGCTCGTATGAGCATGTCTTTGATCGAAAGAATACCCTTCCACAAGGGTGAGGCTATCCGATGCACTTGGGCATCCCAAATCGAAGAGTGTTTTAAGTAGAAATGGTGAACCCATTGGATCCAAATCAAGTCGCCTTTACGATGGATGTCCCAAAGCTACCTAGCGAGAAAGCATTGATTGAACGTTTTGAGATCCCAAACTCGCCGAGCCCCTTTCGACTTCGGATAACTCAAGCACCTTCCAGAAAACCAAAGCCGAATGACATTTTTGAATATCCCCGATCCATAAAAAATTTTGACCGAGGCCTGTGATACGAGAAATGACCGTAGATGGAATAGGGAAGATGGCTAACCAAAACTCGTATAATGCCTATGACAACGTACTTGAGAAGCTCGAGGTGGCTCGCATACGAGATATGCTTACCCAACCAAGCCTCGCACCGTCGACTCCGTGCTCGAAACAATAAAGAGAATTAGGTAGCGAGAAGGCGGTGCGGGCTGAGCGAAACCCCAAGATAACGAAAAGGGAAGGTGCCTTCGGTAAACCTAGTATCTTGGAGTAAAGTTTGCTTAAGGTTGGTGCCGATTCCCCTAAAATAAATATAAGATTTGGAGGCATTGATAATCAGCCTAGAGGTTCGGCCAACCGACTCGACTGGGACGATAAACACTACACGGAGGCTCTATCCCCTCGACAAAGAGCATGATATCATCCACAAATGCAAAATGACCGATTCGAAAAGGTCGACACCGAGAGTGATACCGGAAATCTACCGTTGTGATAGAAAGCTTGAACATGCGGGAGAAGTCCCATGCACATAATAAATAGGTAAGGAGAGAGAGGATCATTTTTTCGAATACCATTTTGGCCTTTGAAGAAGCCAAAGATTTTTCCGAATACCATTTTGGCCTTTGAAGAAGCCAAAGATTTTTCCGAATACCATTTTGACCTTTGAAGAAGCCAAAGATTTTACCATTAATCGAAACCGAATAAAAAGGGTCTCCATACGAGTCATAATCAAGTGGAAAAAAGTGCTAGGAAAGCCAAGGTGTCGGAGGAGATCTCGTAAGAATGACCACCGCACCGAGTCGAAGGCTTTTTTGAAGTCCACTTTGAAAAGGCAACGCAGCCGAGGCACGCTTGCAACCATACTATCGGAGAAGCTCCCGAAGGAGATGAATATTGTCCGACATCCGTCTTCCTCCTAAGAATGCATTTTAAATAGGGCTAATAATATCAACCAAAGCATTGGCTAACCGAGAGGAGAGAATCTTTGAAATAACCTTGTACATCACATTGCGAGCACGATATCGACCGATAATCCACTGGAGATGATGCATTACCCGATTTATGGATCAAAGCAATCACCGAGTGGTTGACTTGCTTCGAGGAGCCGACCCGAGCTAAAGAAATTCTTCACCGCAAGACAAAAGTCCTTTCCCACTACACCTCAAGCTCGTTTAAAGAACAAGAAAGAGTAGCCATCCGGACCAGGAGCTTTATTGTTATCAATCCCAAATAACGTGACCTTGATAGTCTCATCGAAAACCAAGGCGAAGAGCATGTCATGCATGGTAACCGCTAAGCATGGCCTTTAGGAGATTACGACAACCTCAATAGATCGGTAGCCTTAGCCGTGCCCAGCAGAGTTTTAAAGTAGTCAACAAAAAGGTCCCTCATGACGGCTAGTAAAGTAGTAGGTCGCCCATTTATATTCATAAGAGTTGCTATAAAGTTCTTCTTGTGACTCTAACTCATGAAAGTGTGAAAAAATCGATTTCCCTTGTCACTCTCTTCTAAGTATTGGCACGTAAGCTTTTGATCGAAGAACATTTTCTTGGTGAACTTAAGATTAACCAAATCTAGTCGTAATCGTCGTTCTCGGTCTAATAGATGATGGCTATCGTAGTCATTTCGAAGGGCCTATTGAAGAGTCTCTAGTGGCCTCGGAGGCTCGGGCAATCCGCTTTGAAATATGACTAAAGTGGAGCTGATTGAGTGTCCGTAATGGGCTTTTGAGAGCCTTGAGCTTGCGGCACAGCGCAAACATGGGACTATCCGGGCGTTACATCGTCGGTCTCGATCCACCAGCGGGAGAAAACGAGCATGGTGAGCCCACATGTTAAAAAGCCGGAAATGCTATCGGCCAGCAGGAGTCTAACCGTCAAGGTAAACCCATACTTGAGCATGATCGGAGAAACTACCGGGAGGACCGAAACGACACGAGGCCGAAAGACGAAGCATGGACCTTAATGGATTCGCAAGGACTCGGTCGATCTTGATCCGGATAGTAGCACCGTTCTAGGTAAAGTGGCTCTCCGAAAATGATAGATCGAGTGAGACCCGGATCTAGGCGACAAGATCGAAAATCCA